TAGCATGGTGCTGGGAGACCCACAGTGTGGTGCTGGGTGGCCCTTAGCATGGTGCTGGGGTGGTCTCCAGTCGCTGCCTTGTCACCTGTGAAATTCTGGAGTCCGACGTATTCATAAAGGAGGGAGGTTTCTTTGAGCTCGGGGTTTTGGAGGTCCAAGGCCTAGGGCTGTGTCTGGAGGCCAACAGAGGCAGAGCGTGTGCCTGGCAGGAGACCAGAGTGTGTGTGTGTGTGTGTGTGTGTGTGTGTGTGTGTGTGTGTGTGTCTCTTCAGGGCTTTCCCTGTAGCCAGCACTCACTCCTGGGGGATCCACCCTGAACCTTATCCAGCGTTTATTTGAGACAGGATCTGCCCTCTAATTTTCGATCCTTCTGCCTCAGCCTCCTGAGTGGGTGGTATGATGGTAGGAGCCATCATGCGCACGGCTCACATTCCAGAGCCTACATTCCTTCCCAGGCCCTCTCGGGACATCACAGGTGGGTTCCATTTCCATCTCTGAACCCTTCAGTGGGGATTGAGCTCCAACACGTGGAGCCCTGGTGACACTTGGACATCATCCAAACCAGAGCTGCACGTGGCCCATGGCCACCTCCCAGGAAGCCCCCATGGAGGGACAGAAGTGGGGTCAGTCCTGGGCAGACCCTGGCAGGAGCATAGGCAGGCAGGGCATGTCAACGCTCCTGGTGGGGCCCTCAGCGTCTCCTTGGGCTGTGGATAGTCAGGAGCATTCCTGCAGGGACAGCCAAGTCGGGCCCAGGCCCGGGTGTCCCAGCAAGGCCCACAGCAGCCCTGTGGGCGGCGGTTAGGGCTGCCTGCTTGAGTTACCCTCCAGCCCAGCAGCCTTGCCCGCCAGGTCAGCCGGGGTGGCCACAGCTGTCCATATTCCAGCTGCTAAAGTGTGGATCTGGGGCATCTCCCGGAGGCCGGATGCTAAGGGCTCGGTCCCCAGGGTGGGGATCTGGGAGGGGTGGGAACTTCAGAAGGGCCCTTTCTCCTCTCAGGGGATTGTCTCAGGTGTTTGTTAAACAAAGCTGACACACAGCTGCCCTGGGCCGTTATGACAGGGGCCTTGGACATGGCCCGAGTCACTTGGCTGACAGGGGGCCTCACATCTGTCACTCTGGCTGGGGGTCGGTGCAGGCCCTCGTTCTCAGAGGCTCTGAGGGCCTGCCGAGAGCTAGCCAGCAGGGACAGAAAGACCCAGAGGGTGCTGAGGCTGGTGCTTAGTCCTTCTCATCACTCGGGCACTGGTGCCCCTGCAAGCTCCTCCTGTGGCTGGCCAAGGCCCGCAGAGCTGTGGTCTTCTGGTTCGGGCCTGAGTCCTAGACGTGCCTGACTCTGGGGTCACTCCTCATCTCAGGTGAGGCCTGTGTGTCTCCTGCAGCAGCCACCTGCCCCACACAGCCCCCAGGTTCCATCTCCCAGCCCAGAACAAGGAGGTCTGTTCAGTGAGAAAGCCCTGGCCTCTGTCCCTCCATCACAGGCCCTCCTCATCTGAGGGCCGCTACGGCTGCGGGTGACTCAGGTTTGGGCTGCAGAGTCAGGGAGCTGCAGGGTGGCGGCACAGCAGGACCTCTCCCGTGAGAAGTGAGAGCCACCGCTCAGTGCACCCAGGACTGTGCACGGAACTCTCTGAGAGCAGCACCGCGTCCTCTTCGTGGGGAGTGAGTGCTGCAGCATGAGGCAGAGCCCACACCAGCTCTCCCGTTTCCTGAACTCTCTCTCGCCAACTGTGGAAGTCCATGCTTGGCTCTGGGTGGCCTTGCAGAGTGGCTGGCCATTCCTCCAAGATGCTGGGCCAAGTGCCCACGGCGGGTCCCCTGTGAGGCTGCTTCGTGTCTCGTGGGACACCCAGTGCAGTTGTTCCTGTGGCTGTCACAGCAGACTGCAGTGAGGCTCCTACTGACAGCCAGTTGGTCTGTCCAGCACCAGCATGGACGCCACAGCATGACCCTGACCCTGTGTCTTTCCTCTGTTTGTCCAGCCCCTTTTATGGAGAAGACTTTTACTGTGAAATTCCTCGAAGTTTCCGTCATCTGTCATTCTACATTTTTGATAGAGATGTTTTCCGGAGGGATTCCATCATAGGTAGGTGCCTGGGTGGGTGTCCCTTCACTTTCCCTGCCCCTGCTGCTCGGGGTCTCATCTGGTGGAGGTGGGCAGGTCTGGTCTGCAGCCTTCCTGGTGGAGCTGGGTGGCCTGAGGGGAATGGCCTGCGGCTCATGGGCCTGGTTGGGCCTCCCTGTACACAGGTCCTGGGTGAGCTGAGTGGGCTGTGGGTCTGCAGGTCTGCCCTTCCCTAGACAGGGCTTCCACCCCACCTCTGGCTCAGATCCCAGGCCAGTGGGCAGCAGGGGAGCCCACCTCTGGGGTGTAGGCATTGTCACCCAGTGCTCCAGTACCTTCTAACAGCCAGTGGCATGTGCAGACCAGACGGCCATGGCCCAGCCCTCACCCCCAACCAGAAGGGGCTGCTCTCCCCAGGGACTTGGAAGCTCCCGGAGATTGTGAGATGCCCCTGGTGCAGATGTTCTGAAGTGTGTCTCTGGCCCGGATGTCTTTCCTGAGGATAGGGACTTGGGCTCTGGGGGCTCTCTGAGGGCTCTGGGGTGCCCCGTGGGGCCTGGTGGGAAGGGCCAGGGCCTGGTCATGCCATGGCCCTGCGGTGTAGACTCCGGGGCTGAGAGGTGAGGTCGGATTTACAGAAGCACCCGAGGAGGGGCCGAAAAGGCAGCCTGCAGAACAAGACCTCACGACCCCCGGCAGCACACCCTTCCACCGGGTGCCGAGTGTCAGCACTCAGTGCGGAGTTCCCACCTGCGTCAGCGCAGATCCTGGATCCCTGGCGCCTGGGCCGACACACGGCCCTGCAGGCACTGTCTGCACTTGTGTGCTTTGAGCCTGACTTGGTGTCCGGGGTGCCAGCAAGAAAAGGCGTGCCAAATAGCCTGCGCGTGTCTGGTTCCCAACTGGCCCCCAGTCTGCTGGGCCGCTGCAGTGCAGGGTGGTGCTGAGTTGCCCCTGCAGGCCAGCCCAGCAGCACCGGCGGCCCGGTGTCCCAGTGTGTCTTGGTTTCTGCAACAAATACCCCAGCCTGGAACTTTGTGGACCAAGAGGCAAGTCCTGCTCACAGTTCTGAGGCCAGAGGCCCTGTGGCCCCTGTGACATCACAACGCCGGAAAGGAGACCCTGAGCACAGGAGACCCAGCATGTGGAGGGTCCAGTGTGACACATTCCTGGGAAGCAGGGCCATTCCTGCAGGAGGGTCGTCCTGGAGGCCAGGCCACAGGGAGAGAGGCTTTCGGGCTCTTTCATAGCGAAGATGGGCACTGCTGTGTAAGTTACAGAACACACAGGCGTGTAAAATATGTGACCATGTCCCCGGCCTGTCTCAGCTCCTAAAAATGAACAAACACCACGGGATGTCAGATTCCAGAGGCACTCTCCTGAGCAGCCAATGGACCTCAGAGCCTGAATTTTTCCTTATTCCTGTGAGACCACATCATATCCCACGGAGGACAGAGGACAATTCTTGCAAGGGCCCTGTGGCTGCTGTAGAGGCAGGAGAGTGCCTCCCTGGTGGGTCAACATCACAGCCAGTCGTACAGCCCTGCCTGCAAGTGGGCTGTGTCCCTTCCAGGAGGACAGAGTACTGGCTGCGTGAGTGACAGGTGGCAGGGCAGGAGCTGCTCCAAGGTGTCCCGAGGCTGTGCCTGGAGTGGGGTGCGAGGCAGCGGCCTCCTCTGAGCTTGTGAGTGGAGTCAGCAGTAGGCCCGGGGCGAGGTGGCTGCCCCAGGGCCCTTCCTCTGGCACCTGGAAAGCTTCCCACACTGGTCGGCACCTTCTGGGCCAGGCGTTTTAGGTATTTCCAGGGCTGTGTGCTCTGACGTGCAGGTGCCACACCCAAGCCCTGCCGAGGGCTGGGCGGCCAAGTGCCTCTTCTGCTGTGTGTTCCAGGGAAGGTGGCCATCCAGAAAGAGGACCTGCAGAAGTACCACAACAGGGACACCTGGTTCCAGCTGCAGCATGTGGACGCTGACTCGGAAGTGCAGGTGAGGTGGGGAAGTGGCCCAGAACCTGGCCGGGTGCCAGGTGGTGAGAAGAGACGTAGCTCCAGGCCTTCCCAGGGAGGAGTGATCAGCAAACACCATGTCCCCTGTTCACAGGCAGGTTCTGAGCACAGGCTGATTTGCCAGTTCCTTTGGTTATCATCACACTTGTCGGGCAGATGGAAATGCTCTAAAAATCATAAAATAGCTGGGCACCAGCTGCCCGGTCCTTCCCTCTGCAGCACAGCTGCTCTCACACAAGTAAGGTGGCAGGTGGTATGGATGGGGGCCATGCTGCTGGGGTCAGATCCCTGAGGGCCCTCCTGAGCTGTGGACCAGGAGCAGCACAAAGGCCCATCACCACCAGCAGCCTGGTCCTGAGTTGCAGGGGTGTTTTGTCAGCCTGCATTGCTGTGGCCACGGTGTATGGCCAAGCCCAGTGCAGGCCAGCCAGGCTTGCTCAGAGCCCAGCTCCCACACCCAGGAGTGATGTGCAAGACCTCCTGGTCTGGAGGTGGGTCACTGCAGGCTGGGTGACGCATGTGGCTCAGCAGTGCTGGTTGCTGCTGTGACCTGGGCTGTGGCCATCACTGCTGTTTTTATACCTGGGGAGTGGCATCATGAACAAAGTCCCTCACGTCCGTGTCCCGTGAGAACTTGTCCTGAGACTTCATTGGAAGCTACTGTGGTCAGCTGGCGAAGCTGAGTGCCACCCGTGCTGGCCTGCCTGCCTCACACCCCAGGGAACCTCTTCCTCAGCTGGGCTGTCTGGGCAAAGTGCAGAGATTCAAGGTCACAGGCCACTCAGACCCTGTGGCCAATGAGGGTTGGTCCACAAAGTTGATGGTGAGCCAGGCCTGGGGGGAGATGGGGTGTGAACTTCCCACCCTGGGGGACATACTTACTACTTAATTAACTCTGCCTCCTGGGAAAGCCTTGGCCAGAGCCCAAGTGAGCAGAAACCCAAGGTACTGATCACCGCAGAACTGGTGGTTACCGCAGAGCAGCACCTGGCCCTGTGCCAGCTCTGGCTTCATAGCCTGCCCTGCAGGGGTTCAGAAGGCAGCTGTGAGTGGGAGCTGTGACCCCTGCTCCTCAGGCTGATCAGAGCCGCAGATCTGGCTGCCAATGGGAGCAGCCTGCAGAGACTGCTTCCCCAGCTGGCTTGATCTTACTGGCAGGTGAGGCTTTTCCCACTTCTTGCCTTTTTCTGTTCTTTTTATTTACGTAAGTTTGAAAAGGTTATAGATTTATGGAAAGTTGCTGAAAAGAGCACCCAGGAGTGAGGATCATCAGGCTGGTGCGTCCTCCCTGTGCCTGGAGGTGACACAGCAGAGGGCGGCCCTGCCTGGCATCGCCTGCAGGCTGCGTTCAGGTCACACCATTTACACGTGTGGCTCTGTCCTGCGCAGCCCCACCCCCAGTGTGTTTGGTGTGGGCAATGGCAGACCACTGTGCAGGTCCCCCCGGGCCCCCACCCCGTCCGTCTGCAGAACTCTCATCTTCCCCAGCTCTGTCCCCCTGTCACCAGCTGCCAGCCTCCAGCACCTGCTGCTCTATCTGATGGGCAGGGCCTCCTGGGAGCCGTCGGGCTTCTCCCTCCCCTGGGCATGGTGTCCTGGGCTTCCCCGAGGGCGGGCTGGGACTCCCTTCCTCCCCAGGCTGCCAGCACTCCCGGGCGTGGAGGGACGCGCTTGCTCATGGGGGCGGCCCGTGGGTTGGCTCCATCCGTTGACTGGTGGGTATTCTGGGAAGCTATCTGGCGTGTAGACTTGTGTCACTGCCACAGTCAAGATTCAGAACAGCTTTGTCACAACAAAGCTATAAATACTGTACACATGCAAGCCTGTGGTGGGCAGGACAGCTCCTCGCTGCTGCAGGAGGCAGCTGGGGTGGGGCAGGTCCCTCCACCCCGTGCAGGCTGCTGCCTCTGAATGCAGATTCCGCCTCCTCCCTGCCAGTCTCCTGGGAATTCGGACAGCAAAAGGCAAGCGAAGCTCCTTGAAGGGCCAGAGGAGGACGTGTGGACAGCCCCAACGGGTGCAGTGGACGCTGTGCTCAGTGCTTCCCTGCTAGGCCTGGCTCTGGACATTTCTCACCCACAAAGTGGCTGAGATGGGGAGGCGGCTTCTCTGCCTCAACCTGACCTTCAAGTTGCAGGACCCATCTTTGCTCTCATTTCAAAATGTCAGTCACAGTTTTAGAAGGGCAGAGGGCAGCCTCTGGCTTCCTGGCTCTACTTCCCTGTAACTCACAGGAAGCAGGCTGGTGAAAGAGGGCCATGGTGTGGGCAGTACCTGGCCCACAAGGCGGAGGGGGAAAGGCAGGTGAGCAGCCTCTCGCCTCCTGCTGGAATGGCCGGCTTTAGAGGTCTTGGACCCACGCTTCACTACGCAGGCAGGCCTCGTCACCTCCGTCCTCACCCCCCACGTGGAGAGGGCAAGAGCAGGACCCAGCGCCCTGCAGTGCTCAGGGTCCTAGGCACTGAAGGATAGGGGGCAGCCGCCAGCCCTCCACCCCTGCTCCAGTACACCCTGCGCAGGGCGGAGAACCGACCTAGAGTTATCAAGGCCCCGGCTTCCGCCACCCCAAAGACAGCCGGCCCAGAGAGAGGGGGAGACTCCATGGCTCCACGGACATCGGGGAATTTTGCCTTGTGTGTGTCAGACAACTCGAAGGATGACCAAGGACCAGCTTGGCTCTCACAGAGGGCCCGAGGTGGCAGGATGGGTGAGGTGGGCCAGGCCTTCCCCTGCTTCTCTTCTGTCCCCTGTTTCCCTGGGTCCTCTGCGTTGTCTTCTCTCCCCACAGTCTCTCTGGGCCAGGCCCAGGACAGCCTGGGACCAGCTCTGCAGGGCACAGCCACACACAGGGAAGGCCTTGCTGAGGACAGGGAGCCTGGGGGCTTTTAAAAAAATTAATAAGCATTACTTATTTATTTTGGGCAGTTGTGAACTATAGGGAAACTGAGCAGAACAGAGTCCCATGTGCCCTGCCTGACCCAGCGCTGGGGTCTTATTGCTACTGGACACCTGGGTTCACCCTGGGGTCAGGCTTGTGCCATGGCTAAGGCCGTCTCTGTGCACACCTGCTACCCATATGCACCTGCTACCTGTGCGCCTGTGGTCACCCTGTGGTCACCCTGTGGTCGCCCTGGGTGGTGCCCTGTTCTTGGCCTCGGGAGTTGTGCTGTCTCTCTTTTGTTCGTGGTCAGCCTGGCTAAGGTCTCTCGTCTTATTCATCCAGCGGACGTTGGCTTTTGTTCCCCTGTTGATTTCCTCTTTTCAGTTTCACCCATTTCTGGTCTAATTTCTATCACCTCCTTTGTCTGCCTTCTGATTTAATCTGCTCTCCTCGTCTAGATGAGGTCACTGATTTGGGGTCCTTCCCTGCTTCCAGGAAGCGCGGCCAGGGCTCTGAATTTCCCTCCCAATAGTGCTTTTGCAGCATCCACAAATTCTTATAAGTTTTAGTTTCTTTTTTTAATTCATTTCAAAATATTTTGAAATTTCTCTTGCGTTTCCTGTCTGACACGCATGACCTTGAGAGGTGTGTTGTGTGATCTCTGGGTAAGTGGGGTCCAGCTGTCTTTGTCACTGATTTCTAGTTGAACTCCCACGTGACTGATGGGACTTCCAGGTGTGTCCAGGGTAGTCTGGTGACAAGGTGATGATCGTCTCTGCCCTGTGGTTTGGAGGGAACAGCACTTGGGAGCAGCCACCGGCAGAGCTGCCCACCTGGCTTGGCTGAGGACACTGTTCACTTCCAGCACTTTCCTAGCTTCTCCACATCATTGTTCAACTTACATAAGAAGGAAGGGCCAGTGGTCAGGCAGCCCCAAGGCCACTGTTCTCTTGGAGAGAACAGCTGCCCGCAGGACACCTGCCCGCCCATCAGGCCCAGCAAGGGCTGACAGGTCAAGGAAGCGGCGGTCCCGAGTCCCCTGCCCTGGCCATGAAAGCGCAGGGCACAGGTGTGTTCCAGGAGGCTGTGCTCACTGCCACCAACCAGTAGGGCGTGACCCTTGAGGGTCGGGGCTATTTGTGCCAGGAGGTCACGGCACCCTGGGAGGCACTGCCTGTCACTGCCCGCACAGGAAGGAGGCCACATGTGTTGACGAGTGCAGGGCTGCATCTGGGTGGCTCCCGGGCAGGAGGGCCGGGGGTGCAGCTTTGCTGCCTTCACCCTGCCCCGCCTCTCCCAAGCCTCCTGAAAGGAAGGCCAAGCAGCTGTCCAGCGGCCACCCTGGCCAGCAGCACTGGGGGCTGCTGGGGAAAACAGGAAGCAGGAAGGAAGCTGCGTGGCGCTGCTGGCCGCAGGATGGCTGATCTCACCCGCACGTTCCTTAGCCTTCCAGAGGCCACTGGAACAGATTCAAGCTGGGTCCTTCCCAGCAGCCTTGGACACCCCCAAAATCAGGTCTTCAAAGAGTTGGTCCTTGGGTGGAGGGGCCAGACTTCAAGAGACTGCCTCCTGGTGGACCCACCTTGGGTCCTAAGTGCTGGCCCTGTACCCTCTTCAGCCCTAGGACGAGGACACAGTGCCCCCTTTACAGATGGGGAGAACTAGGTGTCGACTCATAGCTCCAGCCGGGCCAGCACTCCGTGAGAGGGAACTGCAGAAACAGCCCTGGTGGCCACGATTCCCTACCCCAGCTTCCTGGCTCCCGCTGTCACCAGCCTCAGGCTTTGCTCTCAGGCCAGACCCAGTCACGTGAGCCTCAGAGCAGTGAACCCGCAGAGAGGCTGCGAGCCCAGGGCACGTGGGCAGCAGAGGCCCTGTTGCTCGGTGCCCAGAATTCAGACCTGACGAAGTGGTGGGGACATCACAGGGGCACCAAGGTCCTTGCAGGTGATGGTCAGAGGTGCTGAAGGTACCTGTGCGGAACTGGCCATTCATTCCTCAGGAGGTGAGCCACAAGTGGTCAGGTGCCACGGGGGGGACCCAGCAAGGGTCCACAGGCTCAGGGCAACATGGTCACCATCATGCCACAAAGCAGGGACACCCAGGCGCTCTCCAGGTCCTGCTTTCCACGGGGGCGTGGGCTTCCTCCCTTCTCAGGGTGTGCAGCTGCTGTCTGGTGCTCTCGTCCATTCTGAACACTGGACATGCTGCCTGCCCATCACTCAGATCCTCGTACAACGGGGGGAGAAGCCAAGAAAGGCAGGCCCTGACCCTGCCTGAGGAGAGGGCTGTGGGTCATCACAGGGACGCACAGCGGGACGTTCTCAGCTTCCGGTCACTCTGCTGTCTTCTCTAGCACCCTCCAAGGGTGCTGGCTTGGGTTCCCTGGCTTCTCCAGGAGGATGTGGGGGCAGGGCTCAGGGGACGCCAGGGGCATCTTCCAGCTTTGCCATGTTGCCCTCAGGTCGTGGCGAGCCCAGCCTCGGGCGGTGTGAGTGGGCAGCAGCACATCTGGAACTGCTTTGCTGAGAGTCTGTCCTAACACCTCTGACCCTCTCTTCAGAAACAGCGTGTGCCCACAACGGGGAGACTTTGGCTATCCCAGAGAGGCCTTGTCCCAGTGTCCGAGTCCTGGGTCTGGAGCCTCGCCACTGGGCGTCCTCCTGGGGGCCAGGTAGCTTTCCCGCAGTCGCTTCTCCTCTGTGACCTTCTGTCCTTGTGCCTTGCAGGGGAAGGTCCACCTGCAGCTGAGGCTGAGCGAGGTCATCACGGACACAGGCGTTGTCTGCCACAAGCTCGCTGCACGGTAAGACACACCGAGGGGCTAGGTCCCGACCAGCTCCCCTGGGGACCTTGTGTCAGTCCTTCCGTCCTCAGCACGCCAAGACCTATGCAGGGTGGGCGCAGGCCTTCGGCAAAGTCGTGGCGTTGCCTCCCCGGCATCAGAAGGGAGGAAGGGGTCCGGCAGTTGGAATCAGCCTCCTACCAGGCCTGCCTGACCGCGATGCTTGGTTTATGCGGGGATGCTGGGGGGCAGACACCCGTCCAAAGTTGGGCTCTTGGCCCTTCAGGGTGGTGGCCCTGCAGTGACTGTAGGAAGCGAAGGGCCCCAGAGGAGGCTTCAAGGTGCCTACTCCATTCTGCACAGGTGCTGTGCAGCCCGCCCCAGCCATGGTGCACACACTGGCTGAGACCTGTCCTCTGGGCAAGCCTGGCCTCTAGCTGGCTAGGCCCTCTGCGTCCCTCCTTTTGCTGCCCAAGAGTGGCCAGCATGTCTCCTGTCCCCGCCCTCCCAGATCTCATGACCTCTGCGCCTCCACAGAGAGCCTAGGGTGGGCGAGGGCTGCTGGGGAGCCTGTCCTTCACTGAAGGTGCCCAGGTGTGCTCTGACAACAGGGCCTGTCTCAGTCCGTTTCCGGGAGCGCTGACAAAACCCTGAGCCTCGTGGCTTGTAAGGAGCAGAAGTTTACAAGGCTGCAGTTCTAGTGAGGCCTCGTGCTGCGTCCTCACAAGTGGACATCCTGTGGCAGGACAGCAAGTGTGCATGCTGTGGCCTCCTCCTCTCCTGGGAAGTCACCCATAGGTGACTTTGGGGATCAAGTGTCCAACCCAGGAGCCTCGGGAACACACTCATGACATCTCTCAGGATAGAGTGAGGACCCCAGGGACTCTCTTCTATGTCCACTGTGTCCCTCCTGCCACATCCTCACCAGCAAGGACGGCACTCTCTCCACCCTCCTCTCCCACCCCAGCACAGCCTCCTGGTGAAAATCATGCTATTCTCCTGCTCCCTCCTCCATCCACCCTCCTCCCTGCTCCATCCACCCTCCTCCCTCCTCCATTCACCCTCCTCCCTCCTCCATCCACCCTCCTCCCTGCTCCATTCACCCTCCTCCCTGCTCCCTCCTCCATTCACCCTCCTCCCCGCTCCCTCCTCCATTTATCCTCTTCCCTGCCTTCTCTACCCTTTCTGTTCCCCTTCTCTGCTGTCCTGCCCAGGGGCCTGGGCAAGGGTCCCATGTGCATTTCCACTTCCAAGCTCACAGACCAGAGTCTTGTGAACTGACTAAGCCACCCTCTGGCCAGGCCACCGACTGTCAGGTAAAGTAGTTTTGGAGGGGCATCCGCCAGGGGAAGACTCCTTTTCAAGCTTCCAGTAGAACCTTAAGCCCAGAGAAGACCTCGTTTTCCATTATTGGAAATTACAAAAAGGAACGCGCTATAGGCTATAGGTTTGCAGCTCTTTCGAGGCTCAGGAAACCCCCAGAGCCTAGCCCTAGGTCAGAGCACGGGGCGGAGTGCAGGTGGTGCAGGGGAGCGGTCCTGGCTGACGGTGGTCCTGGCTGAGGGCAGCCCTGCATCCCTGAGTGCAGGGCAGGCAGAGCTGGAAGCCACCAGCTTCCCAGGCACCGGAAGGCGGAGGCCCACATCAGCTCCACACGGCCGGCCGCTGGTGCGTGTTTTGAGATAGGCTGCATATCAAAACCTGTGATGTCAGCTGCAAAATGGTGTCCTTCTTCTTCAGACCCAGAAAGGCCAGCGGGTCCAGCACAAGGCGCCCCAGAGCACCAGGGTGGGACACTCAGTGATATGTCCTCCTGTCCTCATTTGTGCACAAGATGCTCCCATGTTCACAGAGATGATTCTGTGCAGTCGATCCTAGATAATGTATAGTACGGGGACATCCCTGTTCTCAAATAAAACAAATCTGGTTTTCTGCTGTCTTGGGCAGCCCAGCACAGAGCCTGTGTCGCGCAGTTGGGCCAGGGCTGAGGGTGCTAATGTGGGTGCTTTCGGCATGTGCATGGTAAGAGCCTGTTTCTGCTTTCGCTCTGAAATGTCTGTACACTGCTGGGGGCCATCTTTGCCTTGAGCCACAGAGCAGGCGTTCCTCATGCTGGTCTCTGAAGAAGTGAGAGGTGCTGCTGTGCACTTTCCATGCTCTCCCTCAGGGTGTCCATCAAATGCCCGCTCAACCTCTGGGCCTCCCTCCATGCCCGACCCCACAGAAGTCATGGAATGTTTGCAGAGGATGCAGACCCTGTGATGGGGAGGGCCTGAGACTCCTCTGATGTGGGTGAGCTGCTCTCCCACCAGCTGCCCCATGCTCACCCCTAGGGCCCTGCTGCCTGCGGGATCTGCCTCGTACACACAGCTCTGCTGTTGAATAGAGCCCGTGCTCATCACACAGAGTTCTAGAGAGGTAGGTAGACAGGTAGGTAGTAAGTAGATAGGTAGACAGACAAACAGGTAGGTCAGCAGGTGGGTAGGGAGGAGGTAGTTAGCAGGCAGGAGACAGGTAGACGGCCTTACATTCTTACTTACCGTCTCCCCCTTGGCTGCCCGCCAGCCAAACAGCAGTGTCTCTTGGACACCTCTGCCCAGCTGGCGATCTGCTCCTCTTCCTGGAACAGTGCCCAAGAGGTGGCAGGGGTCTTTGGTGGGTGAATCAGTGGACCAGCCAGTGTTTACTTAGTGGATGAGTTGATGGTCAGAGGAAGGTGACCCAGGACCATCTGAGCAAACCAGGGAAGCAGACTGTCCAGAAAGCAGCAGGGCAGGAGAGCAGGGCAGGAGAAGAGGGACGCCAGTCAGCCCACAGGTGAGGAGGGCCAGGAAGCCCTGCAGGCACGGGCAGCCCTCACAGGCCCACGGTGCCAGGAAGAGGAAAGGGGATATGCGGGTCGAACAGGAGGCCTTGGAGGGCAGCAGGCACTCTGGCGGCAGCATGTGGAGCAGTGTCTTCTCTCCTGATGGAGGGAGAGGTACCGGGACACCAAGGTCAGAGAGCCCGTCACTCAGGACCAGGTGAGGGTGCCTGCTCCTGACCTGGTGGGCAACCAGACTGGGTCCACGTCACCCACACGGCCACACATCGTGTGCGTGCACAGTGGACAGGCCCACCTGCAGAATGAACAGGAGGGCTGGGGCCCAGCACTAGTCCCCGCAGGGCAGGCAAGTCGGGGTGGGGTCCTTGGGCCCAGGTGGGTGTGAGAGGCCAGAAGAGCTGGGCTGGCGCTCCTCAACCTCCCAGCCCAGGGCCCCAGAGGATGGCAGGGACTTTACGGTACAGCCTCCCTAGAAGCAAATTCCATGCCCATCCCAGAGAGTGGACGTGGCTACTGCCCAGAGCCGAGCTGCAGCCCTGCTCCTCACAGGGTGGCGTTGGGAAATTCTGGACACTAAGAATCACAGTGTCCAGCATCTGCTCAAAAACTCCACGAAATGGAAAATGTGATGCCGGCCTAGAAAGGAACGGCAGAGCTGGTGGGCCAGCAGAGGAGGCCAAGGACTCAGAGGGGCTGTGAGCCAGAGGGCACTGGCTCCGGCAGCAAACGTGGTGACCCAGGACCCGTCCCAGGTGCTGCAGAGAGGCCTGTGGTGTGGCCGCCACCCAAGTCCTAGGCCAGAAGCCTACTCCGGGGGCCCAACGAGTCCAGTCCGGCCCCTCGCAGGAAAACAAATGGACAAGTATGGTGACCAGAGGAAAGGGACGGTGTGACACGGCCATGCTGGGAACAGCAGGCACGCCCAGTGCCACAGGAGTCTAGGTTGAGTGGGCGGGAGGCTGCACAGCAGGAGCCTTGGTGGGCTGGGACTGGCTGGTCACTTACTAGGAGTCGGTGCTGCCCGGGAGGAGTCCTGGCTGTGCCGGGGCGGGCCCCACCTGCTCCGCAAGCTGCTCGTCCAGGAGGCCTGGGCCGTGAAGGGCATTCCGTTCCCATGGGTGACTGCGCCTCTTAGGGTTCTCATCATGGGTGACCTGCCCAAAAGGTCCAGTCCTCCTGGAAGGAGTAGGGCGATGGCCACCACCCAGGAGTCCGAACAGGATGCTCTAACAGTGGGCGACCCTGCTGATCTCAAACGCTCTGTCTCGGTGTCTTTGGCCTTGACGAGGGGATAACCGGTGTCGGACGGACACTCCCTGAATGCCTGAGCAGGAATCTGACCCTGCTTAAGGTGATGAAGGGGTGAAGATGCCAGGTCCTGTGGCTCTCGGTCCCCATCGGCCTCTGAGGGCCCAGGTGAAGGGCCGGTGCTCTGCTCTGCCGCAGAGGCTCTGTGTGGCTGTGGCATGGACTGCAGGCTGATGGGCAGTGGGAGCAGTGCTGGGCCCCTGGCTGGGCAGGGCGGGGCACTGCTGCGAGCCTGTGGGCCTCAGCCAAGCAGCTTCCAGAGACGTGACACGCCGACACGTCCTGGCTATTAACCTCCACCACTGGACGGTGAGGAGACAGCCTCAGCGCCCTCCAGCCCTGGAAGGAGGCTGACCAGGTCTGCCTGCAGCTGCAGGTCCCCTCCCCTGACCACTGTCCTGTCTCTCTCAGCATCCTCGAGTGCCAAGGCCTGCCCATAGTGAACGGGCAGTGCGACCCCTATGCCACCGTGACACTGGCCGGACCCTTCAGGCAAGTTGCTTTCCTGTCCTGCCCCTGTTTCCTTCTGGTCCTGGGGGGCTGCGGAGTGGCTGCAGGTCCAGCTCTGGAACCAGAAAGCCAGCACCTCCTTTAGAGAGTGAGGCTGGTGCAGTTTGGGTGGAATATGTCAATTTGACCCCTTTGTGTTTTGTTTGTTGCTCTAACGTTACTTTGTGAAGGAAGGCCGCCCTGTGACCTTCACCCTGGTATTTTTGGCTCGGCAAAAGCTCCTGATTTGCATGCCACCTGGAGGTGGGACAAACAGGGATGTTTATGAGATAAATAAAGGCAGAAGCTACTGCAGGATAGCTCCGTTTCAAGACAGATCTGCAGCCAACGAGTCGTTTCTGGTCCTAACCTTCCTCTCTTGACTGCAGATCAGAAGCCAAGAAGACGAAAGTGAGAAAGAAGACCAACAACCCCCAGTTTGACGAAGTGTTTTACTTTGAGGTTGGTACCGGAGCAGGGTGAGCACAGAAAGCCCACCCAGCATTCTGGTGGGGTCCATCGCCTGGAGGGGCTGCCCCTCCGGCCCAGGGCTTATCCTCCCTCCCTGGGAAGAAAGCTGCTTGTTCTTCCCGGCCTGGCCCAGAGCAGGGGAGTGACAGCTTACTGCCGCCCAGTCCCCAGGACGGGGGTTTTGACTGGCTGTTGGGTTTTGGGGCTTTTTATTTTTCTGGCTGTTCCACCCCAGTTTCCCTCCTCAGGGTGAGGCTTGTTTCACCGGAAACATGAGGGTTTGAAGCAAAAGGGGAAATGATTCAGACCCAGAGGTCTGCTGGCAGCTCCTTAGAGCATGTGGCAGAACTAGAGGAGGGTGAGGCTGAGGCTGCGCAGGCAGGCACGGGTGGACACCGCCCTGGGCGTGAGGGGCATGTGGCAGTGTGCTTCCCAGCGTGTTCCACACACACGCCAGGCTCTGGCAGAGAGGGGCATTCACAGGGGAGGGTGGGCAGGAAGGCAGGTTCACTGCAGCCTCAGGGTCCCTAGGCGGGTGCACCATGGTCAGAAGACGTGGGAAGCTTTCCCGGTCCAGATCACCTTCCCAGCTGGGCCTGCCTGTCTCTGATGTGCAGAGAGCAGGCTCCATTTGCTAAAAACATGGTCTCCACCCACTGGGTTAACTCATGTGGGGACCTAGCTGAGACTGAAAGCCCAGGTCTGGAGATGCCACCTGCACCTCCCTGAGAGCCAGCCTGGTGGGTTGCTGTTCAGGCAGGGTCCCTGCTCCCCTGAGCCCCAGGCCTGAGGGCAGCGTGCTGCTGGACCAGCCCTTCTGCCCTCAACTCAGTGACTCCATTTGGCTTGGAGCCTCAGGTACCAGGGCCTCCTCATTGCCACCCTGCCTCCTGGTTGGGCCAGTGCAGAAGCCTCCAGGAAAGGGGCCCATGACCAGGGCTGTGCAGCTCCCCCAGAGCAGAACGGGGTGCAGTAGCAACAGCCCCCAGTCCATGTTTTTCCATAACGACCCGAGGACACATCTAAAGCCAGCCAGTCTGAACCGCACAGAGCCGCCTTCGCCTGACAGCAGCAAGCTCCAGCTGCCAGTGGGCAGGTGCTCCGTGGGCAGCAGGTGCTCCGTGGGCAGCAGGCAGTGGTCAGGCCAGTGTGGGGCAGAGTGAGCAGATACACTGACAGCAGCACCAGAAGCCTGCTTAGCAGGGGAGCCTCTGACAGAGGACAGGGGCTTCCTGGAGGAAGTGGCATTTCAGAGACCCCTGCAGGAGGTCATGTGACCCTCTGGAGCAGGCTGGCAGAGATGCAGCCAGGAGGAGACAGGGAGCGCACCCAGGACACTGCTAGCTTTACAGTTGCAAATTAAACTTGGAGGCTCAGGGATTTAAACAACATGACCTGGTCAAGTTCTGGATTGCAATACAGCTCCAAAAGCTTCTAGATTTGCATCAGCCCACTGATATGAAGAGGAGGCACAGCCAGCCTGGAGGGGCAGTGCCCTGTGAAGGGCCATGATGGGCTGCAGCAGGTACTGCCAGCTCTGTGGGGCTGCTGGTGTGTGCTGGGCCTCCACTGGGCCTCCACCACTGCACCTGGCCTCCAGTTCCTCTGCTCCCTCCTGTGTTTTGAGAACTGCCAACCCCTGCAACGTTGGGAGGCAAAATGCTTGATCTTTCCGTTTTCTGACACTCACTGGGTGCAGACCTGTGGAGCTGCTCTTGAGGCTGCGGGACCGACAATAGAGCAGGCTGCACCTGGTCACAGGGAGGAGGGCAGCTCCTTGAGTAGGTGTCCTTGTAACCAGCCAGGGCTGGAAGGGAAGCTGCAGGAGCAGTGGAGCTGACCAGAGATGGCCGGGCCCTGCCTGTCTGGGGGCTGAGGCAGCCCACTGCACACGTTCTTGCCCCTCCTGGCAGAATGCAGCCTCTGCTGTGGCGCTCAGTGGCCTCAGGGCTGTGGGGACAGTTCCCAGGTCAGGAGATCGCACTTGAAGCCTGAATCGTGCCCCAGCCCTTCCTGGTCTGGCTGGTCCCAGAACAGGGGGCTGTCCTCTCTGGGCTGCAGGATGCAGTGCCACAGGCTCCTGGTGGCTGGGCTGTGGGTCTGAAGTCCTCTTTCTTCACCTGACACCAGGTCACCAGACCCTGCAGCTACAGCAAAAAATCTCACTTTGATTTTGAGGAGGAAGACGTGGACAAACTTGAAATTCGGTGAGTGGAAAGTCAGGCCGCGCTTCCCACGGGGCAGTTCAGTCTGAACTCAGCTCCTTTGTTGTTTATTTAGTGTCTCAAAGAAGGGGCAAGGATAGAAATGCACTGCCACTTCGTGGTAATTCAGCACCAGGATCATAGGCGTGCTAACCAAAGACCCTGCCTCTAACCTGGTAGACATTTGGGGGTTGGTGAGGACCACCTGCTCTGCAGCCAGCCATGCTCCTAGGCAGTGTCTGGGTGAAGGTCAGATCATCACGAAGGGTCTGCCAGGATTCCTTCACCAAGACCACCCAAGGCCATGTGTGGGAACGCAGTGGCCACTTCTGTTTGGGATCTTGTTCTAAAGCCCTTAGGGCACAACCTGTGCTTGTCAGAGACCAGGTCAGTTTTAGAAAGCACCAGGCCCCCCCCCCCCCCCCATCCCATAGCACTGGCCTTTGGAATCCTGCTGGGTGCAGATCTGTGCTATGCAGCTCCTCTCTGAGCAGGTCCCTCACACATCCTCAAGGCTCTGCGTCTGTGGGCTGGACACCCCTGTGGGGCCTGTGTGTGTCCTCCTGCTCTGCCCATGCACACATCATGGCGGCTGGGCCTTCTGTGAGTGCTCTCCTGGGCGCCTTCCTCCAGGGCACTGAGATTCTCCAAGGCTTCAGGACAGTGACTTGGGGATTGTTCTGCTCCAGTCTGGAGCCTCCCACCCACTGTGAAGAGGCAGATGCAGGGGGAAGGGGAGGGGAGGTAGGGCCCAGAGAATGTGCCAGTCCTCTCTTTTCTGACCCTCCACCTCTGCGCTGTGGCTGCCTGGGATGCTCCTGCTGCCATCTAAGTTGTGTGGTCAGGACTCCCACGGGGGCCAGCACAGTGGGGTAGAAGGACTCCAGCAGCGCCTTCCGCTCCCCACAAGCTCACCTGTTTCTGGCGGAATACCTTGACCCTCTTGGTGAACCGTACTCACTGGCACTGGTAAGGACAAGGGAACCACACTGGGTCTCCTAGAGTCTCTCCAGCAGGCACCTGTGAGACTGTCAGTCCCAGGGCAAAGCTGGCTGGTCTCCTCGGAACACAGTGTGGCCTTGTCTGAGTGCCAGCTCCATGCACACCTGGCCACAGCCCTTCCTGGGCGGGGTGTAGGCAGCCTGCAGAGGTGGAATCTGAGTTCAGGGTCCTGGGCTGCCACTTCCACACTCACAGGCAGGTCCCACAGGTTGACCTCAGGCCAGGCCTGTGAAAGCATTGTGGGCTGCTCCTTCCTGGGTTGGGCACAGACACTGGGCAGTGGCTCAGCTCCACTGCACGCAGCAATGCCCGCAGGTGCCCTCTGCCACCAGCCAGGAGAAGCTGAGTCCTGGGGCCTGCTGCCCCCAGGCCCCGGCTTGGGAAGTGCCGGCCTTTGATTCCAGCTGCCCCGGAGCAGCAGGCCTCTGCCCTCAGCCACCCGGGTTGGCTGTGGTCAGTGTAGGTCTTTGCTGAATGGCTTCAGGACTGGAGGCCTTTACGCAGCTCCCCTGGGAGGTAGCCACCATGCTCTGCCCAGGGCTGCCCTGCTCAGGTGAGGGCTGAGTGCCACTCCTCTCTCTCAGCGTCGACCTCTGGAACGCCAGCAACCTCAAGTTTGGAGACGAGTTTCTGGGGGAACTGAGGATCCCACTCAAAGTGCTGCGACAGTCCAGCCCCCATGAGGCATGGTAGGTGGCTGTACCATCAGCGCCAACCAGGCGAGCCGTGCTTGAGGCCGCCCTCTGCCCAGGGGGCCGCCTGCGGGTCCCACAGAAGCAGGGCCAGCACCACATGGCCAGCTAGAGCTAGGCCCCCTGCCTCTGCAGAGCAGGTCCCAGCCCCATCAAAGGTGGCCACTGAGACCCACCCAAGGTCAAGGGCCTTCATATAGGACCTACAGCCTACGGGTCTCCAGCAGCCTGACCAGGGAAGTCTAGGTGGAGAGAGGGGACCAGACGGGATAGAACTGAGGGAAGGGTTCCCCTCAGAAACCCCTAGAGCAGCGTGGCCACCGCACAGGCCAAACCTCCCTCTGACACCGAAGCCACGCCGCCTCGTGGAAGGGCTCCAGCGTGGCTGGTGTGGCAGCGCTGCTCTTCAGGGCGATGCCTGCCCACAAGCTTCCCCGCCCTCACCCACTCTTCCTTCCAGAACGTGCACTGCCTCCCCCTCTTGCCCTCTTCGCTCCCCTCCTGCTTCTAGGGACTCTCTTCTGTCTGTGGCCCTGTGGGTGCCCCAAGAGAGCCCGCCCTCAGGTGTCCCGCAGAAGGCCTGGAGCTCCGCAGGGTGTCTGAGGCCGGGCTCCTGGACTCCACCTCACCGCACCTGCCTCCCTCCAGGTACTTCCTCCAGCCTCGAGACAGTGGCAGCAAGAGCCTGAAGCCCGACGACCTGGGGTCACTGAGGCTGAACGTGGTCTACACGGAGGACCACGTCTTTTCTTCTGACTACTACAGGCCCCTGCGGGACTTACTGCTGAAGTCTGCCGACGTGGAGGTGTGTGGCAGCCAGCTCTCCAGCCTCAGGGCAGAACTCTGGTGTGGGCTCCCCCCAGCACCCACGCCTGCCTCCCACCCCGCCAGGCCCAGCCCAGGCCCACCACCCCAGCCCCTCTGCCACTGTGGCCACAGAGCCTTGCTGTGCAGACCTTCCACCTAGGACCGTGACCCGCGTCTGGTCTGCCCAGACCCCAGTGCTGCTCGCTGGCTGGGACCCCACCCCTCCATTACAGCTAGGCCTGTGCACACTGGGGGTCCTGATGTGGGCAAAGAGCTGTTCAGGCGCTGACCCTCCCTCCCCCGAGGGGGGGGTCTGGGGCCCTCAGGCACTGCTCCTGGGAGTGGGGTGCCCATGAGGGGCTGCTGTGGTGGGGAGCTCGCCACTCACAAGGTCTCTGCACAGCCTGTGTCTGCGTCAGCGGCCCACATCCTGGGCGAGGTGTGCAGAGAAAAGCAGGAGGCAGCCATCCCGCTGGTACGGCTCCTGCTGCACTATGGCCGGGTGGTGCCCTTCATCAGTGCCATCGCCAGCGCAGAGGTGAAGAGGACCCAGTAAGTGCCCCCCCCCGCCCAGTCCTGTCCGCTGCACCTGACCTCTGGTCCCATGCTTCCACCCTACAACCTCAGCCCCCTGCCCCAGGGCCCTCCAGTGCCCTCTGTCCACCCCACATCCAGCCCCTACCTGCGGCAGCAGACCAGAACCGGTTCAAGCACAGGTTTGAGGGCCGTGAGGTTGAGGGCTCCCCAGGAGCCAGGAGAGTTCAGGGTCACACACTGTGTTGACTTCCCTGGGAGAACTGAGGAGAGCATCTGGGAAGGAGGGACAGGATGCTCTCCTGGGGACAATCGTCCTGCTCTGGGAGCTGCAGGTCCCTGGGAGAGCTCCCTCTGGAGTCTAGGGCTAGAGGATGTGCTGCTTCCCCAGGACCGTGCCTGGAGGCCTTGTTGATGGAGAACTAGGGAGTGACACTGCAGGTGACCAGTGTCCAGGCCACTGAGTTTTGTCTCCCCTGGCCTCATGAAGCACCTGAGGCTTTGATGCAGAGACGCCTGGATTCTCTGAGAACACTTCACAGGGCGGAGGCCAGCTCCGAGCTGACCAAGGGCAGCATAGGGCAGCATGGGAGACCCTGTCACTTCACAGCAGACCCTGGAGCACTCCTGTCCACTCTCGATGACTAATGCCTAGGGATGGGTCCCGCTCCTTCTGCCTCCAGGAGATGACAATCACCCCCGCCCCCCTGTTTTCCAGGGATCCCAACACCATCTTCCGAGGAAACTCGTTGGCATCCAAGTGCATAGACGAGACCATGAAGCTGGCGGGCATGCACTACCTGCATGTCACCCTGAAGCCCACCATAGAGGAGGTGAGGCCAGGGTGCCCCACCAGAGCCAGCACCCAGCAGCCCAGGTGGTTCATGTCCTTGGCTTCGTGAAGAGGGTACTCTGCATGTTCCAAAGTCTTCATTGCTTTCTGAAAGAAAAAAACACTTTAAAACCCCGTATTCTGTTAGAGAGCAGGACTCGTAAGAAGACCTGACTTTTCCCAGGACCCACCTTTCCCACATTCTGTGGGTCCCTGCGTCCCCTGAGCACTGCAGCTGTGGCAGTCCCTGTCCAGGCACTGGCCATTCACTTGCCTGACCCCTCGTGGCTGCCCCAGCACCTCTGTGTCCCTCTGTGTCTCTCCTCTGGCCCCTGCTGCACGTCCTGCCGGGACATTCTGACCTCAGAATAGGTTTCAAATCTAGGGAGCTCAGACAGTGCTCTGCCTTGGTCTGTGGGCGGAATCGTGGCAGTGCTTTAAGTCACAACCTTCTTAAACATCTTTGAACAGATGGGGATCTGTCTGGAAGACTCCTGGCGTGGCCTCAACTGAGGGCTGCCCCTGCCTCCTGGCTAGGGGGCTGGGTGTGCTCCTTGTGGCCCTGCAGTCCAGGCCCAAGTGCTCTGCCTGGCCTCGGGCAGTGCCCTCTTCTTCATGTCCTTCCAGATATGCCAGAGCCACAGGTGCTGTGAGATAGACCCCGTGAAGCTGAGGGACGGCGAAAACCTCGAGAGCAACAGGGTGAGGGGCCGCTCTGTTCCAGGACTCTTCCAAAGCCTCCTGGTGGGGGCTTCGGCCTGGGGCCTCTGGGACACTGTTCCGGGCAGGGAAGGGACGCTAGCTGGGCATAGAAGCTCTTCCCTGGCCCTAGGTCCTGACCGTGGCCATGAGCCTGTGGAAACTTGTCACCCCAACTCCTCTCCCCTAAGCTGCCTGGAGGGCCAGGGCCCACTCAGCAAGCCCTGCCTGTCCCCCTCTGTGACAAACACAGGTGCCCAAACTGGACACCTCAAGCTGCTCCCAGTGCTCTGCCCCATTTTCCAGAACAGCAGAAACGGAGGCCAGCACTTCACAGCCTGTTAATCCCCTCCCCTGACTTCAGTGCAGCGAGGCGCCACTTGGGTCAACCTTTAAGCCAGAGTGTAGATTCTCGCTTTTAGAGGCGCGTCCTGGTGCTGGGTGCCACACCCACAGGGGAGGAGAGAGGGATTCCGTGTGGCTGCCGGCTGTGATCTCTCCACTGATTTTGGCAGCTGTTCACAGCGAATTTTAAAGGGCAGACTTTTTAAACAGAAGTTTATCTGCTGTCTGGCCACTCTGAGCCAGTCCCTGCCCGCCTGGCTCGGGCACTCCCTGTGGCCTCAGGGAACAATGCCTAACACTGTGTCCCCTGCAGGAGAGCCTGCGGCATTATGTGGACCGAGTCTTCACTGTCATCACCAAGTCAGGGGTGAGCTGCCCCACCGTCATGTGTGACATCTTCTTCTCCCTGAGAGAGGCTGCCGCCAAGCGCTTCCAAGGTGAGCCCTGTAGGCCCCAGGTGGTGAACAACGACCAGCTGCCCTGGGCCCCTCCAGCTGCCAGCGTCCCCAGTGGGCGTGAGGGGCCTCCGTCCCCTGGCTGACCTGCCTTCCCACGGGGCTGCCTTTCAACACGTGCCCCTGGTGGCCCTTTCCCTCACCAAGCCCCTGCAGCACTTTGGGGACTAGACAAGGAGGTTTGCTGGTGATCTCGGCACCTCTCAAAACCACTTCCTCACCAGGCCTGCTGGCACCTACCTGTAATCCCAGTGGCTTCGGCTACGGTGGGAGAACGACAGGGTCAGAACCTCAGCACCCGAGGGAGGCCCTAAGCAACTTAGTAGGACCCTCTCTCAAAATAGAACCTAAAAAGTTGTGGGGACTTGACTCAGAGGTGGGGTTCACCTGGGACCAATCCAGGATCAGAAAACAATCATCAGATAAAACGCGTCTTCGTCACGCTGGCTCCTGGAGAATGAGGAGCATTCCCTCCTACACCCGAGGCCCCACAAGCCCTCACTACGACCTGCACACGCCTCCCTGCACCCCTGGTCCCCTGCTGCACAGACCCCTCAAGTCCCCACCTCCCTACCCTGCACACACCTCCACGCACCATTGGTCCCTCCTGCATGGACTTCTCCCGGCCCTCCTCACAGCTCCCTGCACCCCTTGTCCCCTCCTGCATGGTCTCTTCAAGCCCACCACTCCCGCCCTGCACACACCTTCCTGTACCCCTTGTCCC